TTTCACACTCTTTGCTTTGGTTGATGTGTCTTTGAAGGTGTTACTGAGGTACATGTTAATGTAGTGTCTTACCTATATTTTCTTCTATATCTTTTACGGTTTCAGGTTTTATGTCTAGGTCTTTAATCCATTTTGAGTTGTTTTTTTGTGCATGGTGTGAGGTAGTAATCTAGCTTCATTCTTTTGCATGTAGCAGTCTTATTTCCCACCACTATTTATTGAACAAACTTCTTTTTCCATTGCATAGTCTTTACTCCTTTGTCAAAGGTTAGTTATCCATAAATCTCTGGGTTTATTTCTGGATTTTCTAATGGCCTGTGTGTCTGTTTTTGTTCCAGTACAGTGCAGTTTTGTTTATTTTTTTTTTATTACTGCTTTGTTGTAGTTTGAAGTCTGGGAATGTGATACCTCCATTCCCCTTATGAAGGATACTTAGATGTAATCAAAATATAAGTGAATATTTTTACCTAAAAAAGGGTAAAATGTGATAAGGATGAACATTATATTATGATTAAGGGCCTAATACAACAAGAAGAGATAACAATGACATAGGCACAAAATGTTGGAGCATTAGATACACAGGATAATAACAGAATAAAAGAGAAATATGGTAGCATTAAAATACTAGGGGATTTTAATACTCTCCTTAAAGTGATGGACAATTCAACAGAGAATAAATAAATAGCCTTAAATGAGAAGCTAGAATAAATAGGTTCGACAGAAATCTTTAGAATTCTAAAGTCCCTCAGTGCCCACTGAAGTGCTACAATTTGTTCAAATGCATATGGAGCATTTTTGAGGATAGACCCTATATGGTGACACAAGTTTACTGTCAATAAAATTATAAACATCAAATTTGTACCAAATACTCTTTCTGATCAAATTGCTATGAAATTCAAAATTACCTATTAAAAATAAGGAATACTATAAATACATGGAAGCTAAACAACATGCTGTATAATAGTTCTTGGGTAACTTATTTGTGGAATATAAATTGCCAAAGGAGATATAGGAACAAAACACAAAATAACACTTACAGTCTGTACAACATGTGATGGTTTCCATATAGTGTGTGTTGGGGGGGGCAGGGTGGTGGTGGAAGGGATGGAACGTAATGTGATAAAGTATTGGCATTGGAACTTTGGTGGAGGCTAGGTGAAGCATACACACATGTTGAGGTGTGAAATGTTGTGTTCCTCAAATTATAAAGTTATGTTAATGAATGGAAAATCAATAAAATTTGATTAAAAAGTCATGAAAAGGAAAAATAGCAACAAAAGCTATGTGAAGGGTTTACCTTTCAGTCATTGAGTTCCCACTGATGTACTTTCTATATAATCTCATTTAATTTCTATATACTACTGTACAATTGCTCAGTCTGTACTTGTCAGATGAACATGTATGTGCCCATGTTATTTTAGGAAGCAGGAATTGGCACATTACTGATTTTTACCGGTGGGTCCTGATACCTAGTGATGGTTGTTACCCTTAAGAAAACCTTGCAGAGCAGGTTTAATCAACAAGTCATATTTAGTCAGTTCCCTTTCCAGCTTTGAGGAGAACTGAAGGAAAGTGTTTCAGTGTGTCAAAAAACAGATACATATAACTAATTTTAAACAGGCTTAGGGTGATTCACAGTATTAGTGATTGTGTGTGTGTGGAGACTAGAAAAAGAATAAAAATAGAAATATATAAGGACATTATAATTAAAGGGAATTGAAATAGTACAGTCACTTCTCGATGTCATGACCTTCCTCCTTCACAATGTTAGATATTTTCTGTAGCCTCCTCACTTCTTTTATTCCTCTTTTTGTAGCCACTCATTTGGATGCCATCCTACTGCTACAAAATGTCTGCAGCAGTTAGCATGCTCATTACTGTCATCTGCAGTAAGAGGAAGGAAATACAAATTATAGGAAGTTAATTTGGAATACTTCTTCAGTCAAGTTAAAATTGTCTTGAAGAATATTAATGAATTTAAAATCTGAATTTGTTAATTAAGAAAAGGTTTCAATCTTAATTTAAACCAGGATTGAAAATGAGTGGTCCTAGACCCACAAAATACCTGAGACTTGAGATTTGCTGATCGTTCAGTGTTCATGTGTTTTAGTATATTGATTGAACAAAATCAGAAGAGGTTCTGTTTGTTATAAAAGGAATGGCTTTTTTTTTTTTAAAAAGATTTATTTATGTATGCACGCAGAACTGGGGCACAGGTGCAGGGGCGGAGAGAGGACCCACCAGAGACAAAGAGGGGAGCAGAACAGGCAGACTGTCGAAGTACACTGCTGAGGGGAGCAGCGGGCGGGTCAGGAGAGGTCTGCCTCCCCATGTGGGTTCACCTCCACCTCCGGGGAATCGAACTCATTTGCAAGTGGCTTTAGCTTCTTAGTGCTGTGCTTCAGTGCGCTGCAACACCAGGGAGGGCCCAGGAATGGGATTCTAATGCTCATGCATAACCTTCTCAGGAGATGAATGGCATCAGACTGTTTACTTCTCTCTAGACACGTGGCGGATAGAAATGCTGAACTGGAGCGGCAGAACAGAGTTAACCAAAGTTTACAGAAGGACTGGGAGAAGAATGCTGAGATGAAGAAGCAGCGGGACCTGGAAGCAAAAGCTTTTGAGAGGTAAAACCCAAGTTCTTTGTTTGCGGAGAAAGTCCTTTCTGCTTCTTGTTTGATTCCCTCTAACCCCAGGGTGGCAGATAGGTTTCAAGAGCTAACTCCAGCTGATTACTACTGGTGCCTAGAGAACCTCATTCTGGGTTTCGTGGAACATACTACTGTGAGTGATTAGAAATGTCTGTATGGCCACATGATCAGGGAACCGGTGTTGAACATTGTGTATTTGTCACCTCTGTTCTAGTCTTTGTCTCTGCTAATGATAGTTTTATTTTCGTTTTTGGCACATGAAAGAGAGGGTGAGTTATTTCTCTTTGGAAAATCTAACTGAAAGTAGGGAGAGCCATTTTCCATCTGAATACAACCAAAGGTTAGGGAGCTTTCAAAAGCAATCAAGGGGTTGTGAAGATGATTAGCAATTGGAAAAGTGAGGTGCTTGTTGTGGAGCCAACCACCAATGCTTTCCTTTAATATGTTTTACATCACTATACTACCTTTCCAGATATCTTATCTATAATCTAGGATCAGAGAATCTAGTCATTGCTTGAGAATTAAAAATAACTTTGGAGAGGCAGTTAATCTTTTTGTTCTTTATTTGTAAGAAGGAAAAGTCACTTGCCTGACTTAGATAACACAGGAGTTTTGGGGATCAAGTAGGTAGAAAGTGATATACTTAAAATACTTTACAAATATAAGTATGATTTCTTAGATGATAAAAATTTGCTGAAACAGACCAAGTCCATTTAATCAAAATGATTAAGACCTGACTATACCAAAAGTATTTTAAATTGCCAAAAATCAACCATTTTTTTAAATCATGGATACAAGTTCTTCTAGTGGATCTTGATCTGTAACTCCCCTTCCCTTCTAGATTTTTTTTCAAGTATTTCTTGCTTATCTTTCCAGTGGGTGGAGCCCATATTTTCTGACAATGGAAGGAGGGATGATATGGAGAAGAGGTTTTTAGGAAAAGGGGTTTTTCCATAGGAAAAAAAGAAGAGAAAGAAGAGTTGAGGATTTCAAGTCATTTTCTCAGTGCCATGGGAAATCAGGTAATAGGCAGTAAAATTAATGCTAGGGAGTATTAGCTGGATTTAGGAAGTCTGCCTGTCAAACATGGTGATAAAAGATAGAGGGAACAGTAACCAACTTGAGTAATTTCACATGGAGAAGCAGACCCATAACCTGAAAACCTAGGTCAGGTTTCAGACATGGAGCCAAGCAGAAAGCAAATAGGGAGAACGAATTACTGGTGTTAAGAAGAAAACAAAGCAAAAGCAAAAATCTAGTTTACAAATATGCTGTTAGCATGATATATGCTTGTCCCATCACTGCTCAAAGGCAGTGCAGGAAGTTCTTCCCCTGCCCACTTGTTCTTTTTCCTTTCCCAGCCTCCTTTGCTGATGCTTTTATAGAACTCCGCCCATTAGAAATTTTGATAGGGTAGGGGAACACTGGAACTGTTCTGTATAATTAAGAAAAACTGTTGAAGTAGAAAATCAGTTGCTGTTGGTCTTTGTCTATACTGAACTGTGGTGGTGATTTTTCCTGCACTCCCTTTCCTGCCCTAAACTCTCCTGAAGGATTTTTCATTGCATGGCTACTCTTAACTGTTTGCTAGCGTTTTAACCATTAAAGAAGCAGCTTGAAGACCTGATCTCCATTTCAGCCCTGTTTCTCCTGAGCCTGTTATGTAGAGGCGCAGTAAACACAGAAGCTGCAGAGACAACTTTCACTGTCTGTGTGGTCTCCGGCAAATGAAGTGTCTCTGGGGATTTGGATGGGTATGATTGGGGGGGGGGGCGGGGAGAGGAAGGACTGTTGTGAAGATGCCACCTCAGACCTTTTACTCACTGGGAAATGTGGAGACAGGGGAGGGAAGCAGAACATGCCGAGCTATGGGTGCTGGTAGTGACATGATAGGGGAGAGACTGAGGTGGGAGGTCACAGTGGGGTGCCAGGTTCCCCAGGGAAGGAGACCATAGCTACTTTTTCTCTTTCTCCCTTCTGCTGCCCCACTTTTCAAGCCAGTCTCCAAGGAAGGCTTCAAGAAGGCCTCCTAATGCCTGCTTTTCCTACCTTTCCTCAGGGCTTCTGACAAACTCTTCCTCCTGGATCAGTGCGAGCAGTACCAGCGCTGCAAGCAGTGCCAGCGGCGAACCTCCTACAGAGGAGAGAGCAACCTGTGGCCCCTGAACAAGTACCTGCAGGGATCGCGGTTGCTGGTGTAAAACCCAAATTCCCCTGCATTTCCCGGGGAAAGTTTTCATATTTTCAGTGTTAGTTGATTATGAAACTACATGTTTGTAATTTAGAGGAACTTTCTTTTCTGTGGTTTTGGTGCTTTCAGGATCAGATTGTTTTTCAACCCCTTGCTCTATTCACGTGGGCAGGTTCACCCTTCTGTGTTCCTCCCGACCCCACAGAACACCGCTATCATGGGGGGCGGGGAGGGGTTGCATAAGGGTGGGTCCCAGCTTCACTGTGCTGTGGAGTTGCTGCTGACCTAGCCCTGCCTCGCTTGTGTGACTTTTTTAAAAGACTTCATCAATAATGAATAATGTTATAATAAATACTTTCCATGTGCCTAACAATGCATGACCATTCTTTTTATTTATTAATGAAGCACTATTATTTTATGTCCGTGTTAATTTAACAATATAGGATTTCCCCCCTCCACTGTAGTCATCATAGCTCTCCCACCATCAAAGCACCCAGTCCCATTGTGCTCTCAGGGGTGCACGCCCCTCTGTTATCATCCCTCCCTTCTCCGTCTCTCTGTTCGTGTATGCCTCAGACCTCTGGTCAGTTTTCAAGCATTGGCTTTAAAGTTTGTCTTTGTTAGGCCCATTGTTTGGTTTGTCTATATTTCACATATAAGTGAAGCCATCTGACATATATCTTTCTCTTTCTGACTAATTTCACTTAGCATAATCTCTTTCATGCTGAACATGGCATGAGTTTATCTTTTTGATCACTGAGTAGTATGCCATTGTGTGTACATACCATATCATCTTGCTCCTCTCATCTGCTTTAATGCACTTAGATTTTTCACATTTCTTGGTTATTGGAAATAACACTGCAATGAACATAATCTCAGTTCTGAACTCAGTTTAATGGGGAAAGGTATTAATGAGCCATGATCTGTGTACAGTATTTTCTCATTGTATTTCATTACTTCAGTTCTTACTTTTCACTGTAGATCTGAAGTAAGGAATCCATACACACACACACCCTTATATTTAACTATATATTGAAATGAATTCATAACAATAGAAACAATTCTAGCATAGCTAGAGCTAATTCTATATTTCTCATTTGCCATGTTTGTATCTCCTTAGTAAATTCTAAGAGTCGGTGAAAAATCTAATTCCTGTTATCAATAGATAAACTTTTATGTAGTTTCTGAACATTACTGTTGTTCCCCCATGTATGTTGTGTGTGGGTGTATGTATGTGCATATCTGAAGATTGCTACTACCTCATTCAGCCTTGTTTGAATGTTCTTCTCAGCTCCCAGTCCCCAACTTCTTCTGCATCCCCACTTCTTCAACAAACAATTTCAGTCTCACCCAGCTGCACGATGGAAGAGGAAACAAAATAAGGTTGGGGGATGGATGGAGAACAAGAAAAATCTGGTTCTGTCCAGGAGGCTTATTTACCTCTAAAAAATTGTCTACTACTTTTGTTTTACACAGTGTTTGTATATGGATGTCTTTATTAGTCTCTTCTGAGCATTTGTATTTCTGAGGTAGATGTCTGTTGATACTACTTTTTAGTATGTGAGTCTATGAACATAGTTTTCTACCTGTTTTTCTTTGTGAGCCTAGCTAAAGGTTTGTCTATTTTATTTACTTCTTCAAAGAACCAGTTTCTGATTTTATTGATCTCTGGATTTTCTTTTTGATTTCTATTTCATTATTTCTGCTTCAATTTATATTACTTCCTACTACTGGATTTTTATTTCATTCTTTTCTAATCTTTAAGGTGTAAGGTTAAATTGATTAAACTCTTTCTTGTTTCTTAATATTTGTCTGTATTATTATATATACTTCTCTGTTAGTATAGTTTCTGGCATGCTATAGTTTCTGGTTCTTCTTGTTTTCATTTTCATTTGTCTCCAAGTATTTTTAAAATTATTACTGATTTCTTCACTAATTGAGTAGTCATCCAGCAGCATGTTGTTGAGTGTCCACATAGTTTTCCTACTTTCTTTTTTTTCTTTGTGTGTGTGTGTATGTGTGTTTGAATTATAGTTTAGTACCTTCCAGACCAGAGCATATACATGATATATTTCAATCTTCATGAGTTGCTACCCTGGGGAATGTTCCTTGTGTACTTGAGAAAAGTGTGTAGTTAGCTATTTTTGTGGATGTAGTGTCCTGTAAATATCTTTGAAGACCCATGTGGTCTAATTCCTCTTTTAAAGATGTTGTTTATTTTTTTTTTTTAAGATTTATTCATTCATTCATATGGAACTGGGGTACAGGCCAGAGATGTGGAGGGCGAGAGGATTCACCAGAGACAGAGTGGGGAGCAGAACAGGCAGATCGAAGAAGTACACTGCTGAGGGAGCAGTGGGCGGGTTAGGAGAGGTCTGCCACGCCATGTGGATCACCTCCAGGGTGGGGATTGAACTCATGCTGAAGTGGCTTTAGCTTCTTAGTGCTGTTTTAACCTGCTGCACCACCAGGGAGGGCTGTAAACCCACAGTTTTATGGACAAGTAATCTTTGACAAAGGAGCAAAGAATATTCAATGGAACGAAGAAAGTTTGCTCAACAAATGGTGCTGGGAAAACAGGGATGTTATGCAAAAAAAAAAAAAAAAAAAAGAAGCTAGATTACTACCTTGCACCATATTAAAAATGACAGTAAGTCGTAGCTCAGGCGCTTGCAGTACTTCTAGATTTCCAGCAGGTGGCACAGTGGAGTCTTAAAAAATTTAATATATATTTTTTAGTTTTCTTCCATTTAAAAGACTTTTTTAGATGCTTAACTTTTCTGTGCTACTGTAGATTTGGAAACATTTTTCAGTTGATGATTTATGTGTAGGGGAGCATATATAATGCTGTTCTCTTTTCTCTTTCAGCATTTCATATACAAGTCTCTGCAGACTAGGCCTTGTTAATAAGTTCCATAATATTAACACTGTCTTGAGAGGTGTGTGTTGGGGGGAGTGGCAATACAGTCCAGAACACAGTTCCTATGACCTTAATTGGGGATCTGGTCTACAGTAAGTGCCTCAGTTCCTTTACATATATCTTCCCTCAGTGGATTCTGCCTACACACTACTGAACTCTCCCTTCCCTGGGTGGCAGAGTCATTGCATACAAAGCAGACTCCAGCCTGCCCACAGCCTCCAGGCATTTCTTTCCATGAACATCTTGCTTAATAAGGTATGAATCGTTTTAGTCTTCTCTGATGCTCTTTGTGCTAGTCTCCGATGTCCAATAGAATTCCAATTTCACCCCAAGTTATAGGATCCTCTGGGTGTAGCATTCGTGTGGACAAACTTTCAGATTATTTTCTGGCAGCCAAGCAAGGAACCTCTTGTGATGCCATTTTGACCAAATTCCTCTCATTTCCTTTCTTAATATGGGAGGTAATTTGTGTTTACTTTATAAACACAATTTGCAATAAACTTCTTTCTTGTCTCAAAAACCCTGGCATTATCATTTGACCCATGCACAATGGATAGAGAGTCCAACATTAAGGGAGTCACAACAATTTAAAACTTTATGTATTTTCATATTGTAGATATATTAGTCCCAAAAAATATGGAGAGACTGACAAGCAAATTGAACAACTTATCATAGTTGTAGGAAATTTTTACTTTTTTTTTAATAGATGAAATAGGCAAAATCCAGTAAGGATATATAGATTTGAACAAAATGATTAACAAGTTACATGCCATGAACATGTAAAGGGCATAACATTCAACAGTATGAGAATCCATATTCCTTTTTAAGAGAACATGAAATGTTTTATTTAAATTGTATACTCAACCGCAAAAAGTTGAAGCAATTTTCGAAGTATTTGAGTAAAAAGTTTCTTTATCTACAATTAAGGAAAAAAGTTATCTATACTTTTGGAATTTTGAAAATTTTGAAAATCCATGTTTTGAGAGTTCCACTTCTAGATGTGATATAGTAGAATAGGCATCCAAATACTCTCCAAATACTCTCACTGGCTTTTTTGCTTCTAAAGGCTCAACACCAGTTCCTCAGTTGGGAACATCTCTAGATGACCCTTCAGCTTCAGAGCTCTCTGCGAGATTGGCTGAGGTCACTGTTGCAATGCTCTGTGTTGGCATCCAGTTTCGGCTTCTCTTGCTCCTCACATGTGTATCCACCTCAGAATGTGGCTAAATTACAAATCATGCTGGAAGACATGTGAGAGCTGTGAAAGCAACAAGCACTAAGTCAGTAGAGAGAGAAGAGCTTTCCTAAGGTAACCAGCAATTTAGTTTCCTGGGATAATATACTGAATGTGAACATGGACAACAGGCCAGTTTTGGTCTTGCAGAGGGCCTCCTACAAGGCTTGCCACAGTCTGTGGGGCTAGTTCACTGATGGGAAAGTTGAGAAGTTTGATCAATTTCTTCCATAACTTGTAAGGTGAGGTCCTTAGGAAATGCACATTAAGTCTGAGATTTGTATGTTCATCACAAAATTGTATTGTAGCTTATTGTAAAATTCTTCAACTACACATGTGAGGGAACAAGAGAAGCAGAAATTGACCGTCAGACAGAGCATTGCAACAGTGACCTCAGCCAATCTCGCAGAGAGCTCTGAAGCTGAAGGGTCATTTAGAGATTTTCCCAATTGAGGAAATGGTGCTGAGCCTTTAGAAGTAAATAAGCCAGTCAGTCATTTGATGCAGGCTGCCCATAGGAATGAGACTATGCCTTGGGTAAAGCATCTTCTTTTAGTCAAGTGCACTTCTTAGGGGGAAGCACTGTAGCTGCGAGTCTTCAGTAGATAATAAGTCTGAGTGTTTCATCTCTGAAGAGGGATCTTGGTTGTGCAACTACAGTATCCACTACACTAAATGGCAAGTGCTGGTTTCTGGGACTGTGTGTAAGAAGCTGGGAAGTTGGAATGAAGACTCATAAAAAAGAGTGAAATAATCCTTAGTCTCATGACGCTTAGGAGGGAAAGTCTTGCTAAAAGAAGAGGTTAGAATCTGACCAACACATGTAATATGTCTTTTTTTTTTTTTAAAGATTTAT